GTATTCAAATGTTCGGTTGAGAAGCTTAGCAGTAGCGCCCTTCCTCCTCTCTCGGCCCCTCCTCCAATTTTTGGTCTTGAAATTTTTAAATGTTACCCGCATGGATTACAAAAATATGCAAATGACTTAGTCATTTTCATAAATAACTGAAATAATTGTTGAAATCTCATAAAAGATCCATAATCAGCATGTAAAAACTCTTCTCGGGGGCGTGGCTGCCTCCAAGCCCTTTTTAATGGGTTACTTTCAATGAAAAAAAATTTCCCGCTCCCGTTGCCCGTTCACCATATAGCATTTAGTTCTAACGAATAAGATTTCTCTCATCCAGTTGTCCCCAAAGTCTGTTTCAAAAACCCTTTTATTTAACGTTTTTCAAGACTTCTTCTACTTCATATGAGTTCTGTATATTTATGAATTTTAGTCACTGTTTGAGTTTTTTCTATACCTTCTGATAAACGTCATTGTATTTGTTATCAACTCTCAATCAATAAAATTTTGCTTTGGTGAAATTGCACGCAGTCCGGATGTTTGCCTCGAAACTTGAAAACCCACTTACTTGAGCTTAACATTTTTTTCGATTCGGTAGTATTTGTCTTGAAGCTGTGGCATGATGGAAGCATTCGGGATTAAAGATTTCTTTGTATTTGTACTCGCTGATGGGAGATTTTGGGTATTTTCTGCAGTATTTTTCTTTTTTTCCAGATGGAGGCCGCCCGAAATAATGCGGATTGGGGATTTATCAAAAGAAAACCATTTGGTTTCATTATGTCCGCACAGACTGTGAGTTTTGTTTTTCTATCTCTTTTTTATTTTTTGCTGTTTTTTGCTCTTTTTGAAGTCAAGAAGAATGTTTTACAGGTGGTGAGCTTATTTATTGTGTTGTGCGTCGCATTCGCACCATTTGTCTTCGAAGGTGTTGCATTTGTCAGCGGTTGCGCATTCACATTATTCATCTGCTCTTTCATTTATAATTTATTCCATATCATGGGATGGAATAGGAAGGTTTGTGATTTCTTGGGGTTTCATTGATGGGGGAATAGTAAGAAAGCTTTTGAAATTAATGGGAATTTTTTGCTAGGGGATGTTTGGTCCATTAACAATAAGTTGATGGAAAGTACTACAACCACATCTTCATAAACGACCGGTATCTTTTAGGTGTTGCCACTGCCAGGTGGAATAAACCTTTTCGTACCATGTACTTTGATGGTAAGTGCTTTTACCTGCCCCCCACAGCTGAAAAATTCATTCTCTTTTCAGGTATTTGCATGCTCAGTGATCTTCTTCTTTCTCTTTCTATTTGGCACCCTTATCTGCTTAGTTGGATTTTTCGATTCATTCCGATTCACTGTTCGACTCATCATTACCTACTTCTTTATTTCGGTAAGTTAAGGCTATGATTTTCGGAATGGGAAGTAAATGTTTGAATTGCTTTTAGTTGGCAGTTGCACTGGACGCATTTCTTTGTCTTCGCCTTTTTGTGCTCTTGTTCCGAGCAGCACCCAATAGTCAGATATTAGGTTTGACTACTGTGGTGATAGATGGTGATAAAACATCAAGGTTAGTGGATAGCGTGTACATCATTAAAATCGTATACTTTTGCTCCGAATTTATTCATCTATTTATTGATACTTGCAAAAGTACTTGAGTGGTAATGTAAAAAATAATAAGTAAAATGAAAAAATGATCACTGAATTTTACGGCTACATGTGTATGTATCATATTATTAAGTTTTGTGAAAATGCGCACTATAGTTAGGGTTTTGCTTATTATTTTTATTCTATAAATTTTGGAGAAAGCAGAAGCTGAGAATGACCTAGAAGGGTTTACGCGAGTCTTTTCTATTTATAATGGAACTTTTCATTAAAAATTGGCTATGTGAAATAATTCCATTGTCTTTTCTTTGCGAGGGGACGAGGAAATTCAAGGATTAATTGTAATAGGGCCCCCACGAGAGGGCCTATAATTCTAAAATTCCGTCTCTAGAGTGTTCAAAACAAAACTTTTGGAAATTTGGAATTTTTGTATTGAGAACTTGCAAATTCCG